AGTTACTCTAAATACCAACAGAGAGGGAAAGAGTCTTCAAATCAAGTATCAATGCTATCTGCTCTGTGCACAGGGTAGATAGGGACGGGCAACTTAGACATTGGCTATCTAAAATGAGGGGCAATAAAGGCATGAAGTGACTGGCTTACAAGGTTTCAAGAGGGAGCTTAATTTAAGAGTGTGGGGGGGAAAGAAAGAGTCCCCACTGAATAGCTATCATCTTGTCTAGTTGGGTCTGGTGAAAGGAGATGGGGATAAGATTCGTAAGATTCAAAAGTGAATAAATGTTATCATGACTAATGACGACTGTCATAATTGTAAAGGTAGAAGTTTTGTAACAAAAAAAGTGGAGTGGTTAATCTTACAGTCCAGAAACAGAGGACCCTACGACCATGAAGAGAGGAATGCACAAGCAGAATGCGGGACCTTATCCAGAGAAGCAGCAGTGCCAGAGATGGAGGCAGAGATGGGGGCATGGAGAGGGGGAGTGGCTGAAGACTCTCTATTCATGGACTAAGAAGAGAAGGACTAAGAGCTGGTGGCCAGCAGCAGGCTTGCAGAATGTGTCCTTTCGAGATGTAAATTATTATATATGCCTGAGTGGGTTTTTTTGTTTGTGTGTTTTTTAAAAAAGCTAAAGTGGATAGAGAGAAATACTTTTAACTCATGGTATATGGAGGGGATTATAATCAATGTAATGAAACAAACTATATGAGTTGTTGAATGTAAAACTGATGATGTGCCCTGTAAACTTTCACTCAATCCACAATAAAAACCTTAAATTAAAAAAAGAAAAGAATTATGTCCCAACCATACATGACATCACACATCACATCTCCCATACATCCTAGCACCAGCCACCATCACCAACAAAGGAAACTGTTATGTTACAAAATTGGTGCTGGGTAAAAAGGTAAAAACGAAAATCAATCCCAGGAATTAAAAAAATCAACATAGCTCAAATGTGGGTAAGAATCCTGAATTCGGATCATTTCTGCAGAATGAAAACTTCAAGAATCTAGGCAGTACGGAGCTGGTAGAACCTTAGATTCCTGGGAATAATAAATGAAAATATTCTCTAAAGAACTCATTTTTCAATGCAATCCTCAAAAAATTTTAACAAAAAGTGTCCTAAACAGAACATTTAGCTTGTGGCTAAAATATAAATTAAATACATAAATTTGCTGTGTGATTTTTAACCACTGTCTTGTAACTCCTACCAAATGCTTGGGTGGCACTATAGGATCATCAGCACTGGATTGTAAACCACAAGGTCAGTAGTTTAAACCCACAAACTGCTCTTTGAAAACCCTATATATAGGGTCCCTATGAGGCAAAACTGACAAAATAGTACTTAAAAAAAAAAAAAAAAAAAAAAAAAAGCAAATAAGGTATTGGACAGCTTGCTAAGAATGTAAATAAGGAGCATGATATTTTGTGCAGGTAGGACCATGCAAATAAGGTACATGGAAACCTATGAAGTGGACTTGTCAGTTTTGTCACCCCACTAGGCTTAAACTGAGTTATCCCAAAGGCCGAAAAGGGGACCAGTACCACCAAGAAGAAAAGACAGTGGCAGAGCAAGTTCTTTGGACTTGGGCCCCATGTGCAGAGACCCTCCTACACCAAGGAGATTCTGTTGTTGTTAAGTGCCCTCGAGTCAGTTCCAACTCATTGCAACCTAATATAGGGGTTCCAGGGATCAGCTGGTGGGTCTGAACTGCTGACCGTCTGGCTACTATTCCAGTACTTATCTTACAGAACCACAACAGAACTCCAGACCCAGGAGCTTAATTCAGTGAAAAATAGTGAGAAGCAAAGGCAGAGATACAGTGGCAGCAGAACCAGGATATCTGGTGTGAGATGGTACGGTTAAGCTTCCCGGTACACAGAGGAAGAAAACCCAGCACCTTAAGTCAGGAATGTATTGATGGAGCTAAAGAGCTTTATAATACTTGCCTGAGCAAGGTAGAGGTCTGCCCACAGGTACAGCTGAGAAGAGACTGTCCCGACTCAAACTGCATTCTAAGTCTATCCTCATCCTGAATTGTAACCTGGTATTTCCCAAATAAATCCCATAATCATAAGTATTGTCTGTAAGTTCTATGTGACTATTAAAATGAATCACTGAATCGAGCAGAGAAATAAGAGTATGCCATGGAAGGGACTGTTGGGGTGAGAACTGGCAAAAACTTTGAAGAAAGGAGGCATATCTGACCTCCACCTCATAGTTATCAGCTTTTGATGGTGACTCTTCCCTGCTTACTGAAGTTAGGGAAGGTCAAACACTTTCATTTTTACAATATATCCCAAAATACAATGTAATCAGGCACTAGGAGACAGAGCCAGCAAATACAAAATGTAGAATCAGATGCACATATGCTTCAATTACTTCATATTCTACATGTATCAATTAGATCTTTGAATAAAAGACTGAAATTTTAAGTAAGGAAAATATAAAAAAAAAGAAAAAGATTATATATGAAGTTAAAAATTTAATGAATGAGTTTGGATGAGACACTAATGAAGGGTAAAACTAAATTAAAAGATGAGCTAAACAAGTCATTAGAGGACAGAATAGAGATTGAAAACCAGTTTAACTAAACACATTAAAATTTTTAATTAGGGCTTATTATAACCATATTGTTAAACATAAGAAACTTCTTGAAAACCATTAGTGTTTTCTTTTTAAAATGTGCATAAATTTTTTATTTATATTCATTTACTAGAATTGAGAGCTTCTTCATCCTTAGTAATAGAACAACTGCTTACAGCACATGCTGAAAACGTCTCGGGTCTCTTCATATACTATGATATACACTATGTTACATTTCAAAATATATGAAACATACAGATTATAAATTCATTAGAATTAATTTTCAAATTGGCTGAAAAACAATAATATACTTTTAACAGATAGAAAGCTATGGTTCTGGTGAAAGATTTAGCTTTCTTTTAAGCTGTTAGGAACTATGTTAATTGGGAAATGCATTTTTAAAGCATTATACAATTTTGTTTAACATTGTTGTAGCATTCTGTCACTTTCAACAACACATCAAAAAATTTCAAATTTTATGCAAAGTAACTAAAACAGGAAAAGAAAGTTGTTTTGTGACAGAACCAGAAAGGACTTTATGAAAATAGTGTGTCTGTTCCTAAAATGTTTACATTTAATTAAAGAAACTTAAAAGAAATTTCAAATGAGTATATAATCTATTGAATTCAAACCATTTCTTTATCAAACCTAACTTCTATACTATAGAAATGGACCTCAAGCTTTCATTAAAAAGCAACAAGACTGATTGTCGCACTACAGACCAACGTTTTCCAAACAGAGATAGCGTGACAAAGATTGTAAGTCAAACAAAATCAGTATCATACCATCATCTCTACTAGGTAACTGCTCAGAAACAGAGCCTGAAGAATCTTTTCTGATCACAGATCTTTTGGTTTTCCCTTGCCCAGTTCGACTTCTTTGCCGTACCATAAATCCACCAATACCTATCAGAAGAGAAATTGGGTAAACTTGTAAATGACTAGTAGCTCCCTATATTTTCATAATATAGTGAAGCAGCATACAAAAATTTAATTTGGGCTAATTTAAATCAGTATCACTTTTTTATTCAAAATATAATAGGTTGGAAAGAAGCAAATAAAGTCAAAGCCATTGTTATTACTAACTAAACAGGGATTAAATTTCATCAGGATGTAGAACAACAGCACACATTTCTTATTCTAGAATATCAATGACAACTAAATATACAGCAAATTATGTTCATGTGACAAATATTCATCAATCACACAGCATCACTCACAATATTTGGGCATTAGCTGAGAAAGAAATACAAGAAGATACTTACAAACTTAACTAGATGACCCAAACATTCTTTGATTAATATGACTTCAGGAGACAGTGTTTATTTCTTCTATAGTATCAAGACCTGAGACACATAGAGGTTCTATGGTTCTCTCATTGGTAAAAGGGGGGTAATGTATATAGTAACTCCTCATAATATGTTATGAGGATTAAATGGATTAACATATGTAAAGTACTTAGACTAGTGCCTTATACATAGTTAACACTAAAAAATTTTGGTCATTTTTCAATTGTTTAACAAAATACTTCATGATCCAATGGACCCCTCAATTAGAGGGTAGATGCCTTCAATATAGAGGGAAAAGTACCAAATATAAGTTCTTAGAATGATTTTATAATTTCATGGTCTCGTAAAAAAGCATTTATGAGATCATATTAGGAAGAAATGAAATTGATGACATAAAATGGTTTCAATGAAGCTAATTTTACAAATGTGGTTCACTACCAGGGAAAGTAACCTTTTACGCTTATATAGAACACAAATGAAGTTAAACTTTTAATTTTTTTTTATTTTTAGATTACCCTTACTAATAAAACTCAAGCAATCAGACGAATAATGATTACACTGATTCAGTTTAATGCCACAATGATTAGTAAATTAGTTGTCTGAAATACATGGCTCAATGAAAATGAAGAAATATACATTAATTTCCTAAGCGTCTGTTTTTACCAATCTAAAGACATTAACAATCCTTTGTCTTGACTTATTTTCATCACTTTTCCTTATCTATGCAGTCCTGGTATGGCACTGAAGGATAAGCACTGGACTGCTAATCACAAGGTTGCTATGAATTGGAACAGGCTTAATGGGCACTTCATTACAATTGTATAAAGCAACATACTCAGTGTTTTCCAAAGATATGATCAGGAATCTAAAAACTGCCTTAAAACCCCTACAACTTCCATATTGTGATCATTTCAATAACTTATTTTTTAATAAGGCAAACATGATGGGACAAGTAGGGCAGTTTTTCTTTCTACCCCTGAGGCAGAGTCAAAGGATTACCTGGATTATAAATTCTTTAGGCATAAGGACTCTACTGTGCTTACCCTACATAAGCGCTTAAATTAATTTTTAACAACATAAAAATATTATAATGAAAATTAAGAGAATTGTAAAAGTACACAAAGGGAAATACACAAATGGTTTCACAAGTTCATATAAAACTAAAGTGGCACTGTGGATCAGCACTAGACGGCAAACTACAAGGTCGGCAGCTGAAACACACCATCTGCTCCTCGGAAATGATATACGAGGTCACTACTGAGTCGGAACTGACTAGACTGCATTTGTTAACATCTAGGTTAAGGTATCAAACACTAATTGTGAAACTTTCATGCACTCATCCTAAGAAATTGATCAGCTAATAAGGTATATTCAAACAAATTACTTCTTTAAAATAATATGCCCAAGATTTCATTCAAAAAATAATGCTACATTTAATGCTGATTATGTAAGGTTAACTGACGTTTCAATGTTATATTTTTCTTAAATTAACTGAATTGAATTCTACTGAAATACTTAGCTCAGGCACTATACCTGGTCTGTATGGTTTCCGTTTTCTTTTTTTGACACCCTCTGCTCCTTCCACTCCTTTAGTTTCATCATCTGCAGCTTCCCGCTCAGGACTAGATTCTGATTTTCCATCACAATCCATAAGTTCTCCTTCTGGAAAAAAGTAAATGTATACACAAAATTGAAAAACATACTAGATAAACAACCCTTTTATAGTAAGAAAAACAATCAGAGTGGTAGCAGAGTTATTCTAATCTTTTATTAAGTATAGAAAGATTTTTTAAAGTTCTAAATGCTTTTAGAAATTTATTGCTTACTTAATGCAGTGTTCTCAGAATAGGAAACAAAAGAATCATAAAAGGGGAAAACACACATACACAACTTAAAATTATCATTATAAATCAATTTGCACTTAACAAATTTTTAAATTATGTTTTAAATTATGTCTTCAGGCCCAGGACTCTAACACACTTAGAATTCTCTTCTGATTTCAAGAACAGCTGTAATTGGTTATCAGCAACCTACTAAAAACTCTATATCCAAAATTGAATTCCTAATTTAAGATAAACGTGCTTTTATTTTCCAGGTGGTAACTATCACCATTAACCACAATTAAACCTAACCTGGAGAAGCCAGACCCCTGGTTGGTGGTGGTTGTAAAGTTCCTAAGAGATGGCACTGACTCACAGGGTTTCCAAGGTGTGTTTGAACTACTGACTTTGGGTTCACAGTCCAGTGTTGGTCCTACAGTGTCACATCAAAAGTCCACCAACCCGAGGACAGCCTTTATAATTCCAAATTCCTCTTCTCCCATAATGGAGACTACTATATATTCTACTTCCTGAATACCTCTCAAAGTAATGTGCTTGCTGGATTGTGAAGTTAGTTTGAACCACAAAGTTGGCAGTTCTAGCTCACCAGCTCCTTGGAAACCCTACACAGGGTCACTATGGGTAGAAATTGACTGGATGGCACTTAACAACAAAAATACTATCATACTTCTGGACCACTTTTCCAAAAGAATGCTTAGTGGCAGACATAAATAAAACAATTTTGGCCAACAACAAAAATTTTATCATGGGATTACTAGAGGAATCAATAATCTATCTTGCAAGAGTACAGCCAAAACACTCTTTTGAAGCAAGGAAGGAAAGACTTCATCTCATGTACTTTGAACATGTTATCAGAAGGGACCAGTCCCTGGAAAAAGACATCCTTGGTGGCGAGTGAGCAAAAAAAGAAGACAGATCCTCAATGAGATGGACTGACACAGTGTCTGCAACAATTGGCTCAAACATACGACGGTTGTGAGGATGGCACAGAACTGGGCATTGCTCTATTCTGTTGTACATAGGGTATCAATAGGAGAAGAACCATGGGCACCTACCACCCCCATCAAATCCAGTCTTCCAAATGGTTTACTCCTAATTTCCCTCTCCAATCAGTCCTTTATATTGCTGTCTAAATGATCTTTCTACAAGTATGTATCCACTTTCTGCTTAAAATCCCTTAGTATCTTTCCTATGACTTTAAAATACAGTTCATATGTTAAGGCTCATTATAGCTGTTGTTGTTACGTGTCATGGAGTTGGTTCCCACTCACAGCAACCAGGGTTTCTGAAGAACAACTGGTGAGTTTGAACTGCTGATCTTGCAGTTAGCACTCCAGTACTTACTCTACAGCATCATAATGTCTTATAAACTCTGCAGTTTCATCTCACTCCAATCCCAGTAAACGATTTACAGTTCCTTGAATGCATCAAGCTCTTAGGCATTGGGTTGAGAACTGCACTGTTAGCAGTTAAAACACACCATCAGCTTCAAGGGAAAAAGATGAGGCTGTCTTCTCCTATACAGATTTACAGTCTTGTAAACCCTACATAGGCAGTTTTGAGTCGGAATCAACTCGATGGTTATTAGTTTGACTTTGGTTTATATCATTAGTACACCTTCCTGTGAGAAAGTTAGGGGAAAACATGTGCATGGGATATGGAAAAAAATACAGCTGAGCTATGTGAACATGATCCAAGCATTTATTAGGATAATATGATGAAAAAGATTGGTGGAAAAATCATCCCATTGGAAAGAATGCTGAATTCAGAACTTGGTATTGTTAATACACAAAGGCTCCTAAGTCACAAAGAAGAACTGACAGATCAACACCTTAAACGGATTTTGAAAAAGAAAGAAATGAGGAAGAGGAAGAAGTTGGCAAAAAATTTTACAGTGAAAGGATTAGCTGGTGTTTTTTCTAAACAGAATCAGGGGCTTTAGTTGCTTGAAAACATGGACCCAAACACCAAACCCTCTGCTAAAGGCAATAAGCAGATTCGGGAAGCAATGAGATGTCACCATAAAACATATGAAGAAAAAAGAAAAGGACCATATAACCAGTTCTCACTAATTTTCTGATTACAAATGCCATCCCTATTTCCAGGGAAAATACAGATGATGCAGAATAGGTTATCCATCTCTTTCATCACTGGACTACATCTGCATGATTTATGTGCTCTTTTTTATGTATGCAAGTATGAAAATGGATAGCCCTAAGTAGCACAGTGCCTTATACACTGAGCTGTAAAACCACAGCATCAGCAGTTCGAATAGATAGTAGCTTTATGGGAATAGATAAAGGCTTTCTGTTCCTAGACAGATTTATAGCCTCAAAAACCTTATATAGGATTACTATGAGTCAGAACCAACTCAGCAGCACACAATTAACATGTATAAATGTTTTTTTGTTGTTTTCAACACCCTGGTGTGGGTACTGTGGATTAATGCACTGGATGCAGAGTTGGTTTAAACCACAAGGTGGGTCGTTACAGCTTACCAGTCGCTCTTTGGAAATCCTATACAGGGTCACTATGGGTTGGAACCGACTTGACGGCACTTAATAACAAAGAAAAATAAGGATTCATTTTATAAGTAAAAATACTACGAATAAAATGCAATTAAAAAAAAAAAGGGTATTTGACTTACATCACAACTGACTTAGGATGGTGTCATAGAATGGAACCTCATTATAAGTAGGCAATTTATTGTGAGCTTTCCAGTCAGTATTGACTCTTAACCATCCTGCATGGGGTTATTGAGGAGTGGCTGGTAGATTGGAACCATCAACCTTATGGTTAGCAGTCCCTGGTGGTGGTAGTTGGTGGTTATGTGCCGTGGAGTCGTTTCCAATTCATAGTGACCTAGTGCAGGGTTTCCGAGGCTGTAAATCTTTACGGGAACAGAAAGTCTCATCTTCCTCCCGCAGAACAGTTAGTTGGTAGTTTCAAACTCCTAATCTTGAGGTTTGCAGCCCAATTCATAACCACTACACTACCAGAGCTCCTTTAGCAGTCCCTAGATACAGTTATTTGTTAAGGGTTTATTTAACCCTGGTAGCACTTTAAGTTTGGCACTGGTCTGCTAACCTCCCGGTTGGCAGTTCGAACACATCAGCAGCTCCTCAGGAGAAAGATGAAGTGGTTTGCTCCTGTAAAGATTTATAATCTCAAAAACCCTATAAAAGGTTGCTATGAGTCAGAATTGACTAGGTGGTACTGGGTTTGGCTTTGGTTTTAATATTGATACTACATCAGTTATTTAATATTTTGTAATGAAGAATCACTCTGCTAAGTACTTGAAATTTTCTCACATTTTCAGCACAACAACCTTAAGAGATTGGTTCTACTACACATATTTTACAAGTGAGAATTACTACTTATCAGAGAAGTTAAACGAGTTGCTTAAAAACCAAGTTTCTTGACTCTTGGCCAGATGGCGAAGTAGGCAGACAAACCCTTTACAACAAAGATAAGACAGACAAAATGAAACACAAATGAAAATTCTGGTGCTCTGAACTTCCAAAGAAAGGTGAGAGAGGTAAATGGGGTGTTTGCTAGGAGGAGAGGCTGAGCAGGGATGAGGAGACAGGGAACTACGGGCCAGATGTGACTCTACCCTCTTGTGAGCAGTTTTGGCAGCAGAGGGAGGCCTGGCAGAGCAGTGCTGGGGACAGCATACGCAGACCCTGACTTGATGCCCTGTGACATGGACGAAAATCCAATTCCGAGGCCCTCCTCAGGATAGCGATCCATGGACCCGGAGGGCCAAAGGAAGTGACCTCCTGACGTCCCGGGTTCATAGGTTTTTGCGAACTCACTGGTTGGCTACCTCTGTATAATTTTCTTTGGTCCTGATATTGTTCATTCTATGCTGCTAACTCCAGTAATTGTAGCTTCTGAGAAATGGTTTCTTATGTACCTCTCTTAATGTCTCCACTGTGTTGGCAGTGCGTTGAGTCCTGGGAACAAATCTTTCTGAGGAACAAGCGATAGCCACCTGGGATGAATGTCAGAACTGCTCCTATTTGATTATTCAGTTATGTTTGATATCCATGAACAATAATGGGTTTGAAACCCCTTTTGAGAGTCGAGGCAGTAAAAAGTTTCCTCAGATAATTCAGAAAGGCCAGGAACAGGTATATTGGGAATATGAGGAAAGGTTTTTAAAGAAAAACTACCCAAGGTTTGTAAATAAAGTGGAATGGTAAATTCTGGGAATGTTGGATTAGAGGATAATAGTGGCAGCCCCATTAAACCGCCTCTGAATATAATCAGTTTAACCCAGATGCTCTCCTTCCTCCTGAAAGTATATAGGAATGTGATAATTAAGAACAATGTAGCATTTTAGATATAGATAAATGAAGCCCGGTGCCTGAGATCTTGCTCACAAACAAAAGTTTGCAAAGTGTACAGAGACAGCTTGGCTCCTTTCAGGAACATTGCTTTATGTTAAGTATCCTTAAGAAACCGCACGCTGCTCTAGATCATTTAAGCCTAAAAGTTAATATATAACAGCTTGATTAAACCTTTTTTACGTAAAAATAAAAATGTTAGATTGTTAAGAAAACCATGAAAATGTTCCTGTGAATCATTATGTCCTGTTTTGAATGATTAATCACATTTCAGTTCTGTATCCTATCTAATCTAAAGAATCACATCCTCCCTTTGTGAATTATATTCTTCCTTTGTAACAAATCCCTCCCTAAAAAAGAGAATAAAAAACTGAGGTAGAGTGAGTTCTGCATGCAATGCTAGGCAATCAATATGTTTGCAGATCTGTCTACCTGCCAGCTTGCATCATATCTGTGTGTCTGTCTTTTTTGTGTATATTTCGTCTCTCTCTTTCTCTATCCCTTTCGCTGCCAGATCTCCCTTCTTCGTGACACCCACACTTCCTTGTTGAGGCTGGACCCCGACATAGGACCTCAACGGAGCAGAACTGTGCAGGTGATGAGAAAGGTCTGATTTCTTCTTTTTCCCTATACTCCCCTGGAGACCAGAGGGTGTGGCCAGCTCCCACCCTCATCCAATCTCAGTGCATACCCTCTTCTCCAAGTGTTTGGAGCCATGTGGTTGGGAGCTATACCAGTGTAAGTTGGGGCTGGCTGTATGGCTTTGGTGTGTTGCTTAGGTGCTAAGATTCAGGAGGACTCAGCTCGACAACTACAAAACCTGCTGAGTCACCCTGTCCTCAGCTTTCTTGTGGTCCTGACAGACACAAAATCCAGCTTCAGCATGGGTCCCCCTGAACTACTTTTTTTTATAATTACTCTGATCAAAAATATATATTTATAAACAGTTTATGATTAACACTTGGGATTATAAATTTATAATTACAGCTTAACAACTGTTCTGATTTCTGTAATTCTATTTTAATTAGATTTCTGAATCAAATTGAGTACCAGGTAAAAGTTTTCCCAGCATCTCGCAAGCAATACTCATTTCATTCTTACTAACCTTCATGAGAAGAGTATCATGAGATTATGTATGAAACTCATACTCCCTTAAACTAGTAAAACACCTTTAATCATTAGCAGTAAAAGAAATTTTGAAGGCTGTCTACTGTACCCTAGTGTTAGAACATGAAACTTTCAATCTTTGATAAACATGGTATCCAAAATCACAGTAATTGTGAAAGTTTATGAGCACACCCTCTGAACAGCTCCTATTACATCAAATCCTCAAAGGTATGATGCTCAGGAAATTTCTGTAAAATCAGTCTGTTCTAAGAAGATACATGAAAGGGGAGAACTAAAAAAGACAAGGTCCAAAAAGAACATTCTCTTAGAAAGGGCAATTATTTTAAGAAAGGTTATTTAGATCACTCGAATTCTCTCAGATAGATAACAGATTTTTAAAAGTTATTTTATATACTTCAATTCTTGCAAAAAAAAAAAAAAAAAAAAGTACATAGAAAATAAATTAGTATTACCTCTACTGTCATCCATCTCACCATCCCTTGAATGCTCTGACTGGATATCTGGAGGAGTCTGAAGGACAGCTACGCTATTCTGATTTATAATCTTCAATTTCAACTTTGGTTTTGACCGTTTTCTTCTTGGAACTGTAACTGTGAGGCTCTGTAATTGAGTCATCCCTGATTCCGTCAAACAAACACCATCCTGAGTGTAGGTTTTGGGTGGATCTAAAAGTTAGGGAATAATAAAAAAATACAAAAATTTTAACTTTGATTAACACATTGTGATTCCTAACTACTCAAATCAAAGCAATATGACTTTTATAAACCAGAATCCTTCCTTTGGCACTGAAAAGTTTTTTATTCAATCAGTTAATTATTTCTGAATAATTAACTCCATTGTTGTGGCTAAGTGTCCTGTAAGCATTTCTGATTCTTAGCAGCTCTATATAGTTTCCAAGACTGTAAATCTTTGCAGGAGCAGAAAGCCTTGTCTTTCTCCTGTAGAGTAGCTGGTGGGCTTGAAGCACCAACCTTGTGGTTGCTTCTTGATGTATGTTCAGGATCCTCATGAGCACAATTCGAAATGATATCCATAGCTTGTCATGATTCATGCAGCCAAAAGTCTTTGCATAGTCAGTAAAGCACAGATAAACATCCAAGAAAAGTATTTGCACTGAGTAAGTTGAAAATTTCTGGTATTCTCTGTTTTCAGCTAAGATCCATCTGATGACAACAATGATAACTCTAGTTCCACGTCCTCTTCTGAATCTGGCTTGAATTTCTGTCAGTTCCCTATTGGTGTACTGCTGCAACTGTTTTTTAATCATCCTCAGCAAAAATCCACATGCATTTAATATTAATGACATTTTTTGATGATTTCAATATTCTGATGAATCACTTCTCTTAGAAATGGACACAACTATGAAATCTCTTCCAATTGGTTGGCCAGTTAATGTTTTTCAAATTTCTTGTTATATACAAGTGAGTGCCTTCAGGACGGCAACAGTTTGTTGAAAGATTTTAATTTGTATTCTGCCAGTTCATAGAGCCTTGTTTGGCACCAATGCCTTCAGTGTAGCTTGGACTTCTTTCGTCAGCACCATTGATGCTTGATCATATGCTACCTCTTGACATGGTTCAACACTGATCATTTCTTTTTGGTAGTAATTCCGTATTCCTTCCATCTTCTTTTGAAGTTTTCTGTATTATTCAACTATTTTGCCCATAGAATCCTTCAATATTGCAATCTGAGCTTTGAATGTTTTCTTCAGTTCTTTCAGCTTGAGAAATGTTGAGGTCATTCTTATTCTTTTTGGTTCTCTAACTAGAGGTTCTTTTGTACATTTCATTATAATACTTTTGTCGTCCTGAGCTGCTCTTTGAAACTGTTGCGTTCAATTCTTTTACTTCATTTATTTCATTCACTTTAGCTTCTCCATGCTCAAGAGCAAGTTTCAAAGGCTCTTCTGACATCCATTTTGGTCTTGTCTTTCCTGTCTTTTTAATGATCTTTTGCTTTCTTTCCTCTATGATATTCTATGTCATTCCATAACTCTTCTGGTCTTCAATCATTAGTGTCTAATGCATCAAATCTGGTATCTAAACTCAGGTAGGATATATTCAAGTTTATCCTTTGACATTCATGGACTTGTTTTAATTTTTTTCAGCTTCAGCAGTTATCTACATATACACAACTGATGATGTGTTCAATAGTCTCTCTGAGGCCTTGTTTTGGCTGGTGATACTGAGCTATTCCACATCTCTTCCCACAGATGCTGCTGCTGTTGTTATTAAGTGCCACCGAGTTGGTTCCGACTCATAGTGACCCTGGTAAGGTATCCAAGGACCGGCTCATGGGTTTGAACCACCGACCTTGTGGCTCAAATTGACATTGCAGTCCATCGCATTATCCAGCAGTAACTTGATTCCTGTGAATTCAATCTGGTGAATTTCACATGTTTACGTTGATGAAGAAAGTATTTGCAATGAATAAATTGAAAAGTTCAATCATGTGATTTCCAGTCTCATTTCTATTACCAAAGCCGTATTTTCCTATTGATCCTTACTGTACTTTGAACTTTTGTATTTCAAAAACCAGTAAATATCAATTTATCTTGTGTGTTTGATAAATTTCACACTGAAGGCAGAATAATTTCATCATCACTTGTTTTTAGTCTTTGGTGTATAAAATTTAAAACTACTGGCATAAGGTGTTCTTCCTTATAAGTATATGGATACTATCTGATCATAGAAAGCATTGTTCTTCAAGACAGATCTTTCAATGTTCTTTTAAACAATGAATGCAGCACCATTCCTCTTCAATTTATCTTTCCAAGCATAGAAAAGCATCGATTAATGGATTCAAAATGTACAATATCACGCTATCATTTCAGCTCTCTAATGGCTTAGGACATCCATCTTTGTGTGTTCCATTTCATTTTGACAACTTCCAACTTTCCTAGATTCAAACTTTGTATATTCCATATTCCAGTTATTAATGGATGTCTACAGCTGTTTCTTCTCATTTTGGGTTGTGTCCCATCAGCAACCAAAAGTTCTGAAAAACTTTGCTTAATTCACATCATTATGGTCAATTGTAATTTGAGAAGGCAGCTCTTCTGCATTCATATTTTGAGTGTCTTTCAAACTGAGGGGCTCATCTTTTGTCACTATATCTGACAATGTTCCCAAATATTCATAAGGTTTTCAGTACCTAACCATTCAGAAATGATCCGGCTCTCTTTCTTCCTAGTCCATCTTGTCTGAAAGTTCCATTGAGATTTGTCCACTATGGGTAACCCTGCTGATATTTAAAATATTGGCAGCACAGCTTCCAGCTTCACAGCAACAGGCAAGGCACCATAGTATGACAAACTGACAGACAAGCAGCGGAAAAAATCATAGAAGATTTTATTGAACAAAAATTAAAAAATGGGAAGCTACTGTTTCTCAATATATCCTCCATCTAGGTCTGCAGACTTCTGAAGGATGTGTTTCAATCTTTAACTCTTCCCCAGAAATTCTGTGCTTTTGGATTTGTACCATGTCAAAATGGCAGTTTGAGCAACTTTCAGGGTCTCAAGCTGTGTTCTCTTTAAATGTCCTTTGGGTTTTGATAACAAAAAGAAGCATGAAGAAGGGGCAAGATCAAGACTGTAGCATGGATAGGAAAATGTTACCCAATGAAATTCTTGTAAGATACCCACTGCTACCATGAAACAATGAGCAGATGCATTGTTATGATGGTAAAAAAAAATTTCTCAGTGCAATTTTCCTGATGTTTTTCTCAACAATGCAGTTTTCTTAAAACGTCTTTGTTTGTATGTCCCATGATCATCTTGTGTCCTTTGAGAAATACGTATCAAGATTACCCCTTTAGGATCCCCAAAAAGAGTCACCATAACCTTCTAAACTTACCTCTCTGCCTTGAATTTAACTGGCCCATCTCTCTTGGAAGCCAGTTTTGCTAGGATCTTTAAAATTATTTCGGAAAGAACCTTAATGAGACAAAGGTAAGTGCACTGCTGAGAGAACTTGTCTGCATCCATACACTGATCAGAGACACACGTTTAAACATTCTGTCTGGAATAAATCAGTGATGTAACTCTAATAGCAATATTTCTTTTACTTACTTTCGTGTATGAATGAAAATGAAGCAAGTATTGCACTAACGGTTATTCTAAAGCTGTTATTTTTAATATCAATTTTCTGAAATTTATAGGAATATTGACTCACTAAAGATGAAAAAGACATTTTATTTGTCTGAAGAACCATATAATGAAGAAAGATTTTTTTAATAATGTGTGCCAAGCCAACTATATAAAACTATCTATTTATATACTTTTTATTATAAAAAACAGTCAAGTACATTATTTCATATTTTACCTAGCTCTTTTACTTTTGTGACAATTTGTGCTACAAGTGATGATTCACAGCAGTCTGAGGAAGGCACTGAAATGAAAAAAAAAAAAAGTTAAGTAACTGCTTTTTAAAAAGGTAAAGCAAATTAAAATTTAACACAGTAAAATTTCTATTTCTCTATCCCATTTCATTAAAATAACTGCTTGAACACGAAATATAATTTAAAGGTGGGTTTTTTTGTTTTGGTTTTTTAAACAAGAGATGAATAAGTAAGTTAGAGACGACAAACTGGCAAAGAAAAGAACTAGCATATTTGATTATATACAAGATTATGCAATATATAAAATATTGCCAACAGCTATAACATCATGTGTTTCGAAAGCAAAACTGTATGTCATATCATAAATGTGTGTAGCATTTACTTAATATTTACATAAAGACTTTTAATATATAATGTTGTTGTTGTTTAGTGCCATCAAGTTGGTTCCAACTCTATACATAGCGACTATGCATAGAGTTTCTGAGGAGTGGCTGGTTGAGTCTGAATCACCAACATTGCGGTTCAAACCGAACTTGCATTCCAGTACCTTACTCTACACATCACCATACCAGGACTCCATATACAGTTGAGATAATAGGAATTTACACAGTAATTGATTGTTTTCATAAAATATAATGAAATACTAATAAAAATAATTTCACAGAAACGAGTGAAGAGCGCTCATGATAACAACCAGTAAGTAAGGTGCAGGTGATTTGTACAACAATGTGGATATACTTTAATTATTCTCTTACCGTTTAATGTAGGCATATAGGGTCTGCACATGCTACAATCAAAACCAATGTCTGCTACATTTTCCACTTCCTCCTCAGTATTTAAGTTTTGACAAACTGCATGCATCCATCTAAAAAGACCATTATTTTTATATTTAAAAAAGATTATGCTAAGAAATGTTTTCTCTTTAAAAGAGTATAATAGGAGTTCATAGTCTTCAAACTTCAAAGCTCTTAAGCCTCACAGGATATAGTTACCCTTCTCTTCTAAGCCACCTCTCCTTCTCTCCCTGCATCCTCCCAGCCAATGGACCCAACTAAAACATTTAATGAGCTGGAAGTATAAAAGAAAAAAGAACGAAAACAAGTACTAGGTAGGAAGAAAAAACACATAACAGAGGAGAATGAGATAACTGCTTTATGATTGTATAATGTATATGCCAAATATGGCAAGTACACTAGAGGTAGAGCAATGAGAGACTCAGAATACTGCATATGGCATAGTATTCATGTAATGTTGGTATCACATCTACTTCAATTTAGATATAACTCACTTAAGTGATATTAAATGGAAGTCTTGTCTGGGAACAAAGGGCTGGTAGGCAAAGTCCTGAAAATTTTCAACTACTGCAGAAATAATATTGCTAATAATTTTACATGTCAAATGCTTAACTTCAACTATGCACCGTAATATGCCATTGAATCCAAAGCAAACAGTATTAATTTTGAAGCTGCACATGCCTAATCAGGGAGGGCACGAGGTATCTAGTAAAAATTATAGCTTTAATAAAAATATGACTAAAAGACAACTGAATGTGTGAAATCTCTTTTATAATCTAATAAAAGATTCAGAAATCCTCCAATGAAAAGTATATATATGTAAGCAGTAATTCTGCATTTAATATCTAAGGATCAGTTAGCTTTCAGCTGAAAGTCACTGGTCTGGAATTAAGGATTCAAAAGAAAAGATAATTTCTATAAGTTTCTAGTAAGCAAAAGCTTTTTATTTTTTAAATCTATCACCTAGGATAGTTATTTTCCAATTTTTTCTAGCTACAGTACAAAAAGCTTATAGAAGACGAAAACAAAAAATGTACAATACCTATCACACTGTCTACACTGCAGAATAAGATCTTCTTCTCTATAGTTTCGGTAGCAGATGGGGCATGAAGATAAGCTTGCACAAGGAGCACACTGTGTGTAATTATTTTGCCATTCACATCGTAGACCTGCAGATGTTGCTCCACAATGTCTGCACCAAACACACCTGAAATCCAAAACCCCCGAAGTCTTAATTTTATTTAGTTATTTAGTTCCTGCAATTTAAGAAGCTACATATGAACAGAATAGGGGGAAATTATTTAATGCATACTTGATTTTCTGATTAGCAATATCCACCATAGTAAACATGTATTATGCAGTTAAACAGATGTAGCTAATTTTTAAAGACTAAATTGATGTGGGAAAGTTCTGAACTTGAAAGACTAACAACGGAAATGTAAATCCTAGAGTACCATTTGCACTTCCAGCCTCCTTTGGGAACTGTCTGCAATGGAGGATCTAGGCAGTAGGTGTGATAACTTATGTCACAATCATCACAAAGAAGGAGTCTTCCTGGGTCAGTAGCCTTCCCACAGGCCTCACATACAGTGCATTCAAGACACCTCCAACCTTTGCTAAGAACAACTTTAGTGATCTGCAAAAGAAACAACCAATCCATGTGATTTATACAATAACCTACACCTCATTTGCATAATCAATTATACTATATAAATGAATACTGTGCTTATGTACCTAAAGCAGAGAAGAGACAAACAACTAATGATTATTTAGCACTTAAAATGGGCTTGATGCTGGGAAGGGTACTTTCATATACTTTTTGAGAGTCCATCTAAAGAAGATAATAATAAATAGTAGTATATACTTTAGTGTCTTTTTTAAAAAAAAATTAGTCCACGTAACTACCTTGAGCTATGGATTTTATCTAGATTATATATATGGTGACTGACATTTTCTCAAGCAAACTGCCCCACTACTACTGATGTAAGATTTGAAAGTACCTTACTATGCTCTCTATCTACATTTTCATGAATTCCATGCTTCTGAAATTTGTGTAAATGGCAGAAAGACTTCAAATTAGTAGAAAAGTTGAGAATCACTGTACTGCCCCAAAACTTCAAGGGCAGTAACATTATGTAATATTAATACTTTACAACCAACTTCTTACAGATCTGAATAAACTAGAGTCTATTAAATAGAGAGAGGAAGACAATTTTCACAGTACAACGAAATAAGAAGCAATCAAAGTACAGTTTAAAACCTAAATTCTCATGAATTCAGATCATGAAGAATAAGAAAGTCTAAAATCTGAGAGGAAAATTTTAAAGTTAAATACAAAATAACTGTCCAAATAGCATCAAACTTCCTAATTATGGATACTAGAAGACAAGAGTACTAGCTTCCAATTCTACAGAAAAATACTCTTCAAAGTACAATTCTTAGCTAAACAAGCAATGAAGTGTGACGGTAGAGTATCTTTTGAGACATACAGAGAGACTCAAATTCAGGTCTCACAAGCTCCTTCTACTTAAGTTATTTAGATATTTGTGAAACAAAATTAGTGTTTATACCAAAAGGGAAGACATAGGACCCATAAAACAATAAATCTAGTAGAAGTCAATGAAGATTAAGTCTTCCAGAAGTTATGTGATGCTTACAGCATTGTTATTTTGATGTCTTACAAATTCTGCTTGTATATGCTTGTGCTTCAAAGTTTTATGAGTATTAATTTCTACAATGGTAAATATCAATAAGTATAATCTTCACAAACAAAAACACTAAGTCCCCTCAATAATGTTTTATTGTAAAAAGATTCCATAACTAATAAATTTGAGAGCAGAGCAACATACCTAGAAACACCTAGCATAAACTAGAAAAGGAACATGAGGAGTATGTTGTTAAGTGCTGTCGAGTAGATTCCTACCCATAGCAACTCTGTATAGGGTTTCCAAGGAGCAGATGATGAGCTTGATCCACTGACGGTGCAGTCCAAACGACTTTGAAGTCTGAAGCATTAACCCACAGTGCCACATCAGGACAAAAAGAGACTTAATATTAATCTGATATGGTGGCATTTCTATTGATATGGTGGCAAAACAACCAACAAAAATTAATCAGGATCATTAAACATCTTTTTTTTTTTTTTTTTGCTATCAAATCTCCAGGAGTCCTGGTGTGGCACTATGGGTTAATGTGTTGGACTAAAAGTCGGTTTGAACATGAAGGTCGGTGATTCAAGCTCACCAGCAGCTCCTTGGAAACCCTACACAGAGTTGCTATGAGTCAGAATGGACTTGACGACAGTTAACAACAATCAAATCCCCAATGACAAACAAAAGAAAAGTCACAGCACAGAATCTAGATCTACAGTGAAATGTAGTAATGCAGCTAACGTTGCGAGAAAGCTGGGGAAAGGCAGGAGGTGTATTTTAAGAGCAAAATCAGCATTTATCTACAGCAAAAGGAAAAAAACTAACATTGATAAAGAAGTAGCACCAGCATATTATTTAGAGCTGCCAAGTTAACTACAAGAAGATATTCCAGAAAGAATTAGTTGTGGCTGTTTTTAGGTAATAGGATTGAAATGCAGAAACAGAATTAAGACAGGTAAATTGCTCACTGTAGAGCTCTGGCAGTACTATAGGATAAGCACTGAACTGCTAATCACAAAGCTGGCAGTTTACATCCACCAGCCATTCTGAAGGAAAAAGATGAGGTTGTCTGCTCCTGCAAGGATTTATACTCTGGAAAACCCTATACGGGCAATTATAATTTTTTAAAATTGCACATTATAAGGCTTTTAATGTTCTGGTGTGGCGCTGTGGGTTAATACTCTGAACTGCAAAGTCGGTTTGAACCACAATGTCGGCATTTCAAGCTCACCAGCCATTCCTCGGAAACCCTATACAGGGTCGCTATGGGTCAGGACGAACTTGATGATACTTAACAACACCATTTTACCTTTATCCAGGTACATTAATTATACTGATTAGTCTACTGACTTTTTAAACTTCAGCTTATATTGCCAAATTATAATTCAGTATTTATCCAAATGAAAAGGGACTAAGGTAGGAAAAGTAGAGCAGAAGATGGTAAACTCTTTCTTTGAAGGGCAAGACAGTAAATATTCTATACTTTACAGGCTGCATGATCTGTTACAATTACAGCTATAAAGAAATAGTTATCAGTAGTTCAAAAACAGATCACTGTTTTACAAGACTTATGCTGTTCTCAAAAAGAATCTGTTTGTTCTTTATGAAAATCTTTACGAATCAGGTGGTACACCATATCTGACCAAGACACCATAGTTTGTCAATCACTGACTAACAGCAAAGCTAAGATGATCTGAAAATAAAGTAGACAATAGGTTAATGAATGCACTAATAGAATTTTAAAAAATAAATATCTTCATTCCTGCTAAGTCAAGTTTTCTTATTTCTGGGAAACCAACTCTGTGACTTTTACAGGTAAAACCTCAAGTTACTCAGGTCACATTCACTCACTAAACACACTAACATTTGGTTTCCATGTCCATCTCCCACCAGCCACTCCACAGAAATCCTATCCAGGGTCGCTTTGTGTTGAAACTGACTGAAAGGCACTTAACTTGTCCATCTCCACTGAAACAACTTAAGTAGGTCAGTTAAGACCTTTTGGCATCCAAATCTAATTGACACAATAGCTTTTGTGTTACTTCAACTCTTTGCAGCACTTCAACACTTGAACAACCATTTCACCCTCTGAAAAGTTAACTCTTCTATATATATTAAAGCACTACTCTCAACTGATTTTCTCCTATACACACTGATTTAGTCTTAATTTTTAAGACCTTCATATAAAGCACTATCTAGAGTTTCACCCACAGTATCATGTCAAAGTTGTAATAGTTGTGTTTTGTAGTCTATAATGCATACATTTCAACTACAATGAAAAGAACTGGGACCAGACCTTTCTCCAACCATAAAAATCAAACAAAACAAAACCAGAATATATAAAGAACTGACTTTAGACACTGGGCAACAGGATATACAGGACTGTGCTCTCTTTGAGGAGGGAGATTTTCTAGAGTATTGCCTAGTTAGTTTTGATCTCAGTAAGCTACAATGGTCTCAAGGAGTTTAGGAAACATGATGGAGGTTCAGAAAAAATGAGACAGCAGGAATTTGCAGCACAGAGTCCTAGAAAGGAAGAAGCAATGCAGAGTAAAAGCTCCAAAAATCTACACAGTGTTCTTCCTTCAGTATTTGACTGATCTAAGGTGTGTGTCTATGAATCCAAAGGAGAAGCTAGGGAGAAAACTATGACTGGGAAATTACTATTATAGCTCACCCAGAGTCAAAAGACGGCAAAACACAAGAGAAAAGAAAAGGTACTTAGTAAAAATCCTACAAAGGCAATTTATTAAATACAGGGTTAATGTAGCCCTAGAACAATAGTTAATCAAAATGTGGTCTTGGAAATTTTAGTAGGTCTGTAAGATCAAAACTATTTTTATACTTATGTTATACAGTGGTGTCTTCCGCAAGTTATGTGATGCTTAACAGCACTGTTATTTTAATGTCATAGAAATCCTGCTTGTATATGACTGTGCTTCAATGTTTTATGAGTATTAATTTCTACAATGGTAAATAAATATCAATAAGTATAATCTTCATAAACAAAAGCACTGGGTCCTCAATAATGTTTTATTGCAAAAAGATTCCATGACTAATACATTTAGGAATAGCTTTTTAGAAAAAAAGACTCTCTGAAACTGCCACAGGAAATTTAAAAATAATCAAACTTCTAAGAAATAATTTTAATATCTGCCACAACAAAAAAAATGTTAAGAAACTTTTAAACACTCAAAAATATTTTATAGGATCTAACACTCATTTAAAGATTAACAGACATAAGCAACAAGGAAGCATAACTTAATGTAGAAAATTAGTTAACACAATGAAAAATGACAGTGATGAAAATTAGCATGCAAAGATTTAAAATAAGAATACAATGAAGAAAATATTAAAATTATAAAACAAAATAAAGCCAAAATGAACAATATCTAAATGAAAAACTCACTGTATAGACTTAAAAAAAAAAATATATATATATCCGAGTAGAGTACAGGATTGCAATAGACACCATCAAACTAAATCACAGATGGGGGAAAAAGCCCTATTATGCAATCTCTCTCTCTCTCTCTTTCTCTGTCTCTCTCTCTCACACACACACACACACACACAACTCTTAAGGAAAGGGGCAGCTAGGGAACAGAAAAAACTAGTAGAAAGAATTATCAAATATTACCAAAATGTGAGTAATAATAGTATCAGCCCACTGATTCAAGAATCATAACAAATCAGGATGAACACAAACAAAAAACAACCTGATTAGGGCACATTGTAATCAAACTTCTGGAAACAAATGTTAATGAGAAAATCTTAAGGCAGCTTAAGAAAACAAATCATATTACATACAGAAAATTAAAGATTAGAATTCCTGATTTCATTAGAAACAATGCAAGTCATAAAATAATAGAATGACATATTTAAAGTGTTGGGGAGGAGGGGTAGTCAACTTATAATGTATGTAGCAAAAATATCATTCAAAAATAAGGTAACATAAAAGTATTTTCACACAAACAAAGGCTGAGACAATTTACATATCCCTAGCATATTTCTTGAAGTTGTGCACCATCAAATTAGATCTGACTCACACTGACCCCCAACAGGGTTTCCAAGAGCAGAAGCTGAGTTTGAACTGCAGATCTTGCAGTTAGCAGTTCAGTGTTTATCCTACAGCAACTTATTTCAGCTCAGAATATTTCCTGACATTGCTATTTTTCCCAATAAACTATTGTTGTTGCAGTTCAGTGCCATCACGAGTCAGTTCCAACTCTAAGCGTACCTGTTATTGGGTTTCCGAGGAGCAGCAAAAGCAGGTGGGTTGGAACCTCCACCATGCAATTCAAATTGACGTTACAGTAGAGTGCTTAGCCTACAGTGCCACACCAGGACTCCCCTATACAAGGTCAGTTTCGACTCATAGTCACCCTATATAGTGTTTCCGAGACTGTAAATCTTTACGGGAGCAGAAAGCCTCATCTTTCTCCCATGGAACCGCTGGTAGTTTCAACCTGATGACTGAGGTTAGCAGCCCGAATCTAAACACTATGCAACCAGAGCGCCTTCAATTAACTATAAGCCCCTTTATAGAAAGGAAAATTGTTTTACACTCCTTATGTTTTTTGTTAAGTGTGTTCAGTTGGTTCTGATTCATAGTGACATTGTATAGGGTGTTCTTAAGAAATAGCTAGTTGGTGATTTTGAACATCCGACCTTGTGGTTAGCAGTCTAGTATTTATCTTACAGCGCCACACCAGGACTCCTTATAGAACTTAGCCATTATTTTTCAGCAGTGAGATCAATAAATTGTTTAAAAATTTTAGTAATAAGCTACAGTATTCTGTATTGTTTGAATGCTATTTGTAGTATGGTGGTGGTGGTGGTGTGCCATGGAGTCAATTCCTATTCAGAGACACTGCATAGGGTTTCCAAGGCTGTAGCCTTTAAGGAAGCACAAAGCCTCATCTTTCTCCCACGGAGCAGCTAGTAGTTTCGGAGTGCTGACCTTGAGGTTAGGAGCCCAACTTGTAACCATTATGCTACCAGAGTTCCTTTATTTATTTATTTTAGTTCCTTTATTTTTAATATAGTCAGAACTAAATGCAGTTAGAAAATCCAGTATTAAAATTCTTGCTAAGCTATTTTTACTACCTATTTGATACTGTACTAATTGATCTTAACTTACTACATTATACTTCACTGACTTTAAATGTTAAAAAGGAATTTAAGAAACTACTGGCTGGCTTAAAAGAAATACACGAAAGTTCTGAACATCAACTCAAATCTTGATTTCCTTCCTAAAGCCTTTTACAATTTGGATTGGACCATAAAGCTTCTATTCCAATCTTCAAAGGAATTCTTTTAAATTTCCTCATTATCATGAAATATTTCAACCAAAAGCCAAATTCTAATTTAAAAAATAACAAAGAAAATGTAGGATACAAAGGTAAAAAAAAGAACAGTTCATCTTTTAATGCATACATACTCCATTAAAAAATTTTATTTTATATGTGTCCTTTTTGTTCAAAATACTGTGGGTAATGTTCAAAGACTATATAAATTTATAAACTGATTTACTTATTCTAATTTAGATAAATTTCAATTTTGCAATGTAATTCTTAAAATCACCCTGACCTATTTACTTTATGAAAGAAATATTAGTGATAAGCAAGGAATTTTCAAAGGAATATTTATGACAACAGCTTGAATAAACCAATGATATAATACAGGAATGTGTGAAGGGCAGGACAGAAAGGGATAAAAATGACTTCAAAGTTAAGAATGATTCAGAACCATAAAAGCAAATGAAATTAGTATTTTTACACAAGGTAAAGTGCATAAAAGGAGTTGGTTGTGGATGAATACAGCAGGACTCTTTGTTGTACACCTTTGTTGTTCACTTTCAGAAACATGTGTTATTTTGTTCAAATATACAATTCTGTTAATCTGAAAAATTGAGGTTTTAGGACAGGTTCATATTTGAACAGCATTTGAAAAACACACAAGATTACTATTTATAAAGTTCCTCATTAAGTTTCTAATATGAAATCCAAGAAATTGATAACTGCTACCCATGAATTGCATGAAATATTGATTTCTTCTTTTCAGCTACATAAGAAAATGTTCTTTTAGATTATGAGCGAAGGTGAAACAGTGAAAAGGAACAAGGATGGGCTAATGGACTAATAACTTTTTACTAAGTACTACATTTCTTCTTAACTTTTGTAATACAAAGATAAAATGAATCAACAAAACCTTATACCAATAACAAAAACCAGTGTAAATTATCTTTTTAATTAACTGCATACATTTCTATGCTTTACTTTTTCAAGGAAATAATAGGATAATTTGCATAATTGAAGACCAGAAAGTTACAGAAGTTAATTTTAAAGTAACACATTAGATTCAATATTTAAATGTATTGAGAGATTACATGTGTATAATAATTATAAAGCTCATTTAAGGATATTTACCTTAATACTGACACAGTACGGATGGTAACACTGACCACACTGAGAACAGGCAAGTAATCTTCCCTCTGCTCCTTGTCCAAAACTCCCACAAACAACACACATATCCTGAAATTTAGAACACATGAACATATTTTAAGCTAAGGGTATTCACATGTCATTAAAATTACCTTAATGGAGTAACATAACTCTACAGGTTAAATAGTAGATGACTTCTGTACAGAAAAGATAAAATAGAAATGAATAACAAGAAATTCAAAGGAAGAAAGCAGTAAATAATAAAGTTCAAACCTGATGCAAAGTGAACTTGTCACTACTAGAAAACAATACAACTGTATTGTGCATAGAGTTTTCTTCTTCATCTTTACTTGATGAAATATCTGCAGTAGACACCTAAAAAAAGTGAAATAGACAAAACATGAAATTTTTCATTTTTATTCTATTTAAACCAGAAAGACTGAGAAAATGCTTATTTAAACTAGAATTTTTGGCAAGATCTATACTCATAATTCTAAATTAATTTATTAGTGCCAAGATACTACTATAAGCAATCACTGAGATGAAAACAAAGTGTGTGATCTGTTGAAATGTAAAATCTTCTCTATAATCATTTAATTCACAATAATAAAAAATTTTTAAATACTACTGTAAAATTTTTAAGTCATGATATCTTTTATTCACCTGCTTCTTCAGAGTTACACATTCTAGAGATCAAGAAATAGTGAGAAAAATATAAACTTACATTTAGTAAGTCTTTATTACCCAGAAATTCTAATGAAGAAATCATAAAATTATAAAATTTATAATGTGTGTACACTTGCATATAAAACTATTTTAGTAATGCTTTAGAATTGTGCTATCTAATACAGTAGATAAGCGCTTATTGTTATTTGTAATATGACTAACTGAAACTGAAATGGGCTATTAGAGTAAGATTCATATTAGTTTCACAGAGTTAGTACAAAAGGAAAAAAATCATGTAAAATATTTCACTAATGGTTTACATATTACACACTGAAATATTTCCTTTTATTAAACATGGCTTCTCCAAACAGAACCAGTTGCCAATGAGTAAGTTCTAACTCATGGCTGTCCTTTGTATGTCAGAGTAGAAATGTGCTCCAATAGGGTTGCCAATTATTATCACTTTAGAAATAGATCAAAATAGGCTTTTATCCCAATGTGCCCCTGAGTGAACTCCTCGAACTGTCAAACTTTCAGTTAGCCAAACATTTAACCATTTATTTGTGTCACCCCAGGACACCAACATAGGTACTAGGCATTTTTAAGTTGCATATGTGGTTCACATTATATTCTTTAGAATATTAGTATTTTGAAAAATATTATCAAAATTTCAGTATTAACCAAGGATGAACAACCAGAGATATTCATATCAGGAGTTGGTTATGTATGACCAAATCAATTAAGTACCTATTGTTAAGTGCCATTCAGACCGTTCTGACTCATAGCAACCCCGTATAGTGTTTCCAGGAGCAGCTATGGGTTTTAACAGCCAACCTTGCATTTAGCAACCCAATGTTTAACCTACAGCGCCACACCAGGGCTCCAAGTAACTATTGGTTAGCTAATAATTTACAGAATGTTGTTGTTGTTGTTATGTGCCTGTGTAGTCGGTTCTGACTCATAGAGACCCTGTACAAGGTTTCTGAGGCTGTAAATCTTTATGGGAGCAGAAAGCCTCATCTTTCTCCTGTTGAACAGCTGGTAGTTTCGAACTGCTGAACTCGCGGTTTGCAGCCCGATTTGGAACCACTACGCTACCAGAGCTCCCAATTTACAGAATAAAATTTTTAAAAAGCTCTCAGTTGGTGGTGTTGTTGTTAGGTGCCATCACTTTGGTACCAAATCCCAGAGACCCTATGAACAACAGAATGAAACACTGCCTGGTCCTGGGCCAAACTCAGATTCACTGCTAAGCCTGACCCCATCGCTACTGCTACTGTGTAAATCCATCTCACTGGTCTTCCTTTTTTAATTTGAACCTCAACTTTACCAAACATGATATCCTTCTCCAGCAAATGGTCCCTGCTGACAATACGCCCTAAGTATGAGAAACAAAGTCTGGCCAACTTGCTTCCAAGGAGCACTCTGGCTGTGCTTCTTCCAACACACAACTGTTTTTTTTGACCGTCCGTGATACTTTCAATATTCTCCACTAACACCACAACTTAAACGCATAGATTCTTCTATGGTCTTCCTTATTCACAGTCCAACTGTCACATGCATATGAGGTTACTGAAAACACCATTGCTTGGTTCAGGAGCACCATAGTCCTCAAACTGAAGTCCTTGCTCTTTAATACTTTAAAGAGGTTTTGTGCAGCAGATTTGTCCAATGCAATATGTCGTCTGATTTCTTCACTGCTGCTTCTTCCATGATTGTTGATGGTTAAACTGAGCAAAATGAAGTCTTTGACAACTTAAATCTTTTCTTCATCGACAGGGATGTTGTTTATTGGTCCAGCGGTGAAGATTTCTATTTTCTGTATATTGAGATGCAACCCATACTGAAGGCTCTAGTCTTTGATCTTCATCAGTAAGTACTTTAAGTCCTCTTCCCTTTCAGCATGCAAGGGTGTATCATCTGCATATCACAAGTTGTTAATGAGTCTTCCTCTAATCCTCATGCCACATTTATTTTCACATAATCCAGTTTTTCAGATTATCTGCTCAGAATACAGATTGAATAAACATGGTAAAAGAATACAATCCTGTCACACATCTTTCCTAATTTTAAATCATTCTGTTTACACAACTGTCTCTTCGCCCGTGTACAGGTTCCTCATGAGCACAATTTAAGTGCAATGTTGTCCACAGCTTGTCATGAGCCACACAACTGAAAGCCTCTGCATAGTCAATAAAGCACAGGTAAATATCTTTCTGGTATTCGCTGCTTTCAAAGAAGCTCTGGTAGCGTAGTGGTTATGAATCGGGCAGAAAACTGCAAGGTCAGCAGTTTGAAATACCAGCTGCTCTGTGGGAGAAAGATGAGGCTTTCTGCTCTCATAAAGATTTACAGTCTCAGAAATCCTGTTCAGGGTCGCTATGGGTCAGAACCGACTCGATGGCACTTAACAACAACATTCTCTGCTTACAGCCAATATCCATCTGATGTCAGCAATGATATCCCATGTTCCATGTCCTCTTCAGAATCCAGCTTGGAAGTTCTCTATTAAAGTATGATTGTAGTCATTTCTGTATTACCTTGAGTAAAACTTTACTAACATGGGATATCAACGATATTGTCTGATGATTTCAACATTCTGTTAGATCACCTCTCTTTAGAATGGGCACAAATACAGATCTCTTCCAGTTAGTTGGCCAGGTAGTTGTCTTCCAAATGTCTTGGCACAGATGAGTGAATGCCTACAGTGGGCAGATTAGTTTGTTAAAAAGACTTTAATTTGTATTCCATCAATTCTTGGAGCCTTGTTCTTTGCCACTGACTTCAATACACCTTGGACTCTTCCCTTCAGGATCTTTGGCTCATGATCATATGCTACGTCTTGAAATGGTTGACCACTGACAATTTCTATTTGGTACAGCGATTCTGTGTCTTCCTTTCATCTTCTTTTGGTTCTTTCTGTATAATTCAATATTTTGCCCATAGAATCCTTCAATACTGCAAGATGAGGTTTGAATTTTTGCTTCAGTTCCCTGGGCTTGAGAAATGCTAAACATGTTCTTCCCTTTTGCTTTTCTAACTGTAGGTCTGTGCACATTTCATTATAATATTTGACTTTGTCTTCTCGAGCTGACCTTTGAAATTTTCTGTTCATCTCTTGTACCTCACTTCCTCAGTTCTTCCATTTGCATCTCCAGCATAGAGATGCTGGAGAGCAAGTTTCAGAGTCTCTTCTGACATTCATTTGGTCTTTTCTTCCTTTCTTGTCTTGTTTAAATCTCCCACTATTATTGTTGTTGTTACGTGTCATCGAGTTGGAAAACGACTCATAGCAACCCTGTGCACAGCAGAATGGAACACTGCCCGATCTATTAGAGGTGCCTATTTCTTTCTTCAGTTGTATTAGGGCTTGCTTTATGTAATTTGGGGCTCTTTCACTGGGAGCATAGATATTATGGCTAAGTCCTCTGAACAACTGAAACTTTAACCATGAGATAATGACCTTCTTTGTCCCTTATGCTGATCTTTGCTTTAAAGTTTATTTTGTCTGAGATTAATATTGGCACTCATGCTCATTTTTTATTGCAATTAGCTTGGTATAAGGTTTTACATTCTTTAATGCCTTTAGATTGGTGCAATCCATTGCAGTTTTCTGTAATTATCAACAGGTATGGGATTAATTGCTGACATTATGGCTGTTTGGTTTTTGCGGTGCTGCTGTTTTCTTTGGTCCATATATGCCTTCCCATACTAATTATTTTGTGTGTTTTTTCTTGTCAATTTGTTCAGACTGTTAATGCTTCTATACTCTTTTTAGATATTTCATTTCTGGATTTGATGTGGCTATACATCCAGCTTCTTTGAGGTTACCCTGTATTTTATTAAGTTCTTTGTCTTTTTATGACATTGTTGTATTCTGAGATCTAACTGACCTTCTCACCACCCAGCTTTCTGTCACTATACTTTTCCCTTCTTTGGCTTTGTGGCTATCCTGTTCATGGACTGACCTCCCCCAAATCCCTAATTTCAATTTTGTAGTTTTGTTCTGCCCTGGATTCTTCCATCTCTGGACTGAGGTCTGGGTGGTGTTACCACATATGTCAGTCTCTAGTTGTTGTCAGGTCTTGTTAATTCTCAGTCCCAATAACTTCCTTTAGTATGTTTTAGAGCACTGGTTTGGCCTTTACGAAATCCCTTAAACTTCTGTGTATCCTGGAAGGTTTTGATTTTGCTGTCATATTTGACTGACAATTTTGTTGGGTATATGATTTTTGGTTGGCAGGTGTTTTCTTTTAGAGTTTCGTAAATGTCTCTCCACTATCTTCTTGCCTGCATGGTTTCTGCTGAGTAATTTGAGCTTAATCTTATTTGTTTTCCTTTGTATGTCCATTTCTTTTTACCCTAGCTGCTTCCAGGATTCTCTTTGCCTTTGGTTTTGGAAAGGTTGACTATGACATATATGCATTGGTGATTTTCTTTTTTGGGGGGGTCTTTCCTTCCTGAGATTCATTCAGCTTCTTATATTGCTTATCTTGTCATCCTTCAAGATGTTAGGGACGTTATTTTCCAGAAGCTCTCTGAATATCTCTTTCGTAGGTTTTTTTTTGGACTCTTCCTGTTTTGGAATTCCAATTAACCTCAAGTTATTCTTCATGTTGTTCCACATGAATCTTAGGCTTTCTTCAATTTTTTCATTCTCTTTTCTGCTTGTTCTTCTATCTTAACTTTGTTAAGAGATTTGTCTCAAGCTTGCTGACTGTGGCTTCCATCTCTTCAATTCTACTTCTTTGCCCTTTCAATGTGTTGTCCTTTTCTGATATTTTGGCATTGATCATCTGCACCTCTTTTTGCAGGTTCTTTGTCAATTCAAATGCCGTTTCTTTTTTGTTGCTTGTTCCTGTAGCACTCACTCTAACTTTATTTGCCTTGACTTTTCTGTGGGACATCCGGATGCACCTCAATATCATTCTCCTAAATTCCCCTTCAGCCAATTTCAGAGCCTCTTTAATCTCTAATATCAAGCCTAGCTCTTCCTCTTGATCATTTTGTCTGAGGTACTTTGTCTTGGTTCTGCACATGAGCAGAAAATTTCTACTGCTTTTAGGCACTGCAGTGCTGCTTTATCTGTGCTAATTACATGAATGTGTTAATGGTGTATTCTTAAGCATGCTCCAAATTGTCTCCTTCTGGATGTGATCAGGAGATGGGCTTCTCTGTTCACTGTTCTTGCAGCTCCTTTAAAGAGTGTTTTTAACAGGTGTTGGCTGTACATGTTGTTCTGATAATATAGCAGCTTGTATAATCTCTTGCCTTTTTTGTTGGGGTTTTACAGGGTGCAAATATAGGTTGGTTGTGTGGCTCTTGTGAGGCGAAGCAAGAATAAAAACTCCCACAAAAGTACCAGGAAGGCCAAATTCAGAAGTAATTCCCAAAGTCAAACATCATAAGCACCTGGCAAAGTTTAGTCTCCAAAGCTGACTGAGACTTCCGGATATTTTCTGTTTGCACGCTGGGCAAGGATCTTGGGAAATCCTTCCCCTGAGCAAGTCAAGAGCTCAGTGATAATCGTTTTGTGCATTGCAAACCTTGTGGGCACAATGCTGGGCTTTCTCTCGGGTGTGCCCCCACCCGTGTGGAGATACCCACACCAGACAGAGAGAACGTGAGAAGGGAGAGTGAAAAAATGGTGAAGGGAAAAAAAAACCAAAAAACAAAAACGAGCAAAAAAGACCTTCACACCTCTATTTCCATAAATTGTTGGGTGGTTTCTGTGCTGGGACTGGACTTGTTTCTGTTCCCACCCTATGACTTCCAAAAAAGTTGTGGCCCACTGCCCATTCTGATTCAGAAATCAATCTCTTTTTTACCACTACTTCAGATCTCTCTGCTAGTAAACCCCCGAAACAATGCCTTTATCAATTTTATATAAAATTCAGAGTTCCAAGAATGACCCACCAATCTGTTTTGCCCAGTTTTCCATATTTTACTGACAAGACTCTGTACTGCCACTCTGTTCATTCTGCCATTAAACTGGAAGTCCCTCTCTCTCGTTTTAATGACCTTTTGCTTTCTTCATGTATGATATTCCTAATGTCATCTCACAAAACAAAAGAACTACCAACATATACAACAACATGTATGAATCTCAAAATAATTATGTTCTAAAAAGCAAAATAAAAAGAACAGATTCTGTATGATTTCTTACATACAACTCTAGAAAATACAAATTAGACTACAGTGATGTGGGTCAGATTGGTTACTGCCTAGGGATAAAGGGAGATGAATGGGAAGGAGAGCAGATGGACTACTGTAGCACGGAGCAACTTTATGAGGTGATAAACACGATCACCAGTATGGGTTATACCTCAATGTAAAGAAAACAAATATCCTCACAACTGGATCAATAAATAACACCATGGTAAATGGAGAAAAGAATGAAGTTGTCAAATACTTCATTTTGCTTAGATCCACTATCAACACTCATGGAAGCAGTAGTCAAGAAATTAAATGACTTACTGCATTAGTCATAACTGCTGCACACAAGTCCTTTTAAAGTGTTCAAAAGTAAAGATGTTAGTTTGAGGACTAAGGTCTACCCTACCCAAGTCATGGTATTTTAAGAGGACTCATGCATGCAAAAGTTGGACAACGAATAAGACTCTAGAAGAACCAAGGCATTTGAGTTATGGTGTTGGAGTGTATTAAAAGCACCAGTGACTGCCACAGAACAAAGAAATCTGTGTTCGAGGACGTACAGTCAGAATGCTCCTTAGAGGTCAGGATGGTGAGACTTGTCTCTCATATTTCAGATGTGTTAGGAGGGACCAGTCCCTATGGAAGGCCACCAAGCTTGGTAAAGTGGAAGGTCAACAAACAAAAGGAAGGCTCCCCCCACCCACAATGAGATGGAGTGACATAGTGACAGCAGACATGAGCTCAAGAGTAACAACAATTGTGAGGATGGCACAGGACCTGGCAATGTTTTGTTCTGCTGTTCACAGGGTCACTATGAGAACCGAACTCAACTTCACCTAACAACATGATCACTATGTTGACTGGTGTGGTTTTCAAAGGTGTACGGTTTCAAATATATGACAATTTCTCAAACTGTAGACTTCAAATATCTGTAGTTCATTTGTATCAAGTATGATTCATAAGCCTGTTATTTCTTTCTTTCCTTGCATTTTCTAGGGGGAAAAAAAGAACCAGAACCAAGTTTCCTTTTTTCTGGTTTAAAAAACATTTACATAAAACCATGTAACATGACCATATTTATCAAATTTTTATTAAACTCAAAAGTAGTTATAAAACCTTCAACGTTGTCAGAGTACATACTAATCTTCACTAATTCTCCTTTTTTCTGTAAGCACTGCAATTAAAACCTTAAAACTACAGCATAAAAGAAACATGCTACATACTGGATCTTAAGGAAGGGCACAACAAGATAAAGAGACAAACAGGCCGGTAAATGAAGAGAAAATGAATGAGAAACTGTAAAATATAAAACTTGAGCAAAGATTTTGTTTTTTAAAAGCAAAACAGAGATTAAAGCAAATAAAAATAAAATTTTTTTAGCCTACCTATGTGACTGTTAAGGTCTAAGTAATTTGTGACAAATGAGACTCTTAACGTTCACTAACATGTTCAACATTACAGCAAATAGAAATGAAGTCTCACCCCAGGTAATACAACAGCTCCAATCCCACTTTTGAATTTTGATCTGCCTCTGCCACCTCGTCCGGACAATCCTGCACCACGAGGTCTCCGTTTTCCTGGAAATCCAGACCCACGCCCCTACACAATGTATAAGAGTAAATATTATTTTAAAGCCAAGAAGAATTTTCAAATTCAAAAGTCAGTGATACAAAACATCTCATTAAATTTAGAGTGCATCCATTTTACCAATCAATGAAAAAGATAAAATCCTGAGAATGTATGATAATAACTTAAGGTAAACTGGTACCTGTATCTTTAAATATGCACTTTATAACTTAAAATAAGCACACACTATATAAATATGGACTCCTGGTGTGGCACTGTAGAATAAACACTGAACTGCAAAGTTGCTTTGATCTGCAAGGTTGGCAGTTCAAACTACCAGTCGCTCCTTGGAAACCCTATACAGGGTTGCAATAAATTGAAGCTGACTCAAAGTCATTTAACAACAACATATAAATACGATCAAACATGGCCCAAAGGAAATAAACTTCTTAATAAAATGACTATTAACCTTGGAAATAAACTTTGATCTGGCATGTGACTCTCCTTCATCAGCAGTACTTAGCACTATTTTTCCATTTCCTAATTCTGTGTACTGTGGAGTCCCTGGTGTGGCCCTTGGGATAACTGCACTGAACTGGAAGGTCAGTATTTTAAATTCATAAGTCACTCCTCAGCAACCCTATACAGGGTGGTTATGAGTCAGAATTGACTTGACAACACTTAACAACAACAACCATATAGGATTACTGAGAGTAAAAAAGCTCTTAGATATGTATATAGTAAGTAGTCAATAAATGTTAGAAAATAGTCCTGGTGTGGGCACTTAAAAACGCTACTCTAAGTACTGAAGCAGCATGATTAACAATAGTCCATCCTTACATTTATTCTCTACTGGATATAATATGTTATACATTACACATGTGGAATGAACTGTTTACTCGCCACCTAGCACACAGGATTGTTGTTGTTGTTACATGCCTTTAAGCCCGTATGACTCACAGGGATCCTGTATTGGGTTTCCAAGTAGCATCTGATGAGTTTGAACTGTTGGCCTTGAAGTTAACGATCCAGGTTTATTTTACAATGCCACACCATGACTAGATATTTTATTATTCCTATTTTAGAGGTAAGCACACTGAGGCATAAAAGATTAAGAAATTTGTACCAAATCACAGCAGGAAGTATGGCACCAATGCCTATGCACTGAACCAATATCTTATACTCTACATTAATTTTTGCTAGTGTGAAATTGTTTCTCCTCTCTATCTTTAAAATTAAGGTAACACCCTTTACTATTCAGTAGTTGTCTATCTGAATGGAGTATGTGTATCTCATTCTATCACAGTATTTACAAGAAATTTTATTTAAAGATTATAGTAAATTTGATGAAAAGGTCAAAGCCTTGTTTTAAGTCCAGATAATAATTACTTCAAATGGAAATAATCTCAATATTTATCCAAGAACAAATTCTATAGAAAAACATATTGTTTCTGATATTTTACAAAATACCATTTTTTTGTTGTTGTTGCTTATGCTCAGACTTTTGCTTTACAACCTGAAAAACCCTGTAGTTTATACAAATAAATGCATTTGTTTATTTCAAGACTTTTAAATACTCAGTGGAAAAAATTTTTTAACTCCTCAAAGTTTAATAATCACATTTTCAACTGATATCATTTATCTCAGTGTGAAATGCTGAACTCATTATCTATTTGGCAGAATGATTTCTAAGTAAATTATTTATTGTATTATAACATATTGGAAGCATAACATAGATACATATGAGCAAAGGAAGAGGAATTATCTCCACCACTGTCGCCATTTTAATAAATTCAGGCAACTTCCAGTTTTCAAATAGTTTCTCTTTGTCTTCTCTAAACTGCTTTCCTCTAGATTCCTTGAGGGATTCATGGGCTTCTTCAATCATGGATGAGTTAGGTATGATTGGGTAGAGATTACTTTTTTTAAAAGAAGTATACAAGACTTTGTTTTTAATTAAATCCATGATGAAATCAAGATTACAGCAGTTGCTGTTCACCATTATCCAATAACACATACAAAAATAAAAAGATATTATCTTTAAAATTATCAAACAAATCATCTGATACACTATTAAAACAAATATTTATAATTAAACATCTTAGATAATTAACAGGGAAAACAGTTATTTGAATTCTAATACAGAAAAAAAAAAGTTGATTCTAGAACTCCTTAGTAATCTCCTCCAACAAATAGCCTTACTTCAAGGACTATATTAAATACAGAAGGTAAAGACAAGTTATGTTCTCTAGTTAACATTTTATCAAATAAATATTTTCTTCTTCAAATAAATCATTTTGTTGTTGTTAAGTGCTGTCAAGTGTCAAGTCGGGTGCAACTGACACTGTGTAGGGTTTCTGAGGAACACTGGTGATCCTGAACCGTTGATCTTGTGATCTTGTGGTTTAAACCAACTTTGCTATCCAGTGTAGAGTCACACCAGGACTCCAAAATACACTGTAAAACTTCATTTAATTTCAAAGTGTTAGAAAAATCATCCACAAATGACCCCCTGAATGGGTAACACTTCCCCAAGCCAGCATGAAAAAGCAGCTGCTTAAATCTTGAGACTAACCTAGACAATAAAAGCTGCTGCAACTCTGGTGCTTCCTCTCCATTATTATGTAAAAGATTAATGTAGCTGCTCTAGTTTTGTTTTTTTCTAAGCAACCAAATTTTATGATAACATGAATGAGCAAGGCCTCAATTACCTTATGGCTAAAGTGATAAGGATTTTTCCCCTCAAAGAAATACTGCTAATTACAACATAAGAAGAAATCATAAAAAGGTGTTAAAATTTTTTACACTTAAAAAAACAGTCACATAAAATTATAATAGCCATCTTACCCAGATTTGAAAATGCAAATATGTTGCTTCTGTACATTAAAATTTTTAAGTAAAAAAAAAAAAGGCTGTGAAAGTTGGACTATTTACCTGTTTAATTCTTAAACTTCTACTAGGGCAATACAACTAGAAAGAAATGATACATGAATGTAAACGTAATGTTATTTACCACTTTGATGCTCCAAATGGCACTGCCAGGAAGCTGCCTGGGTTTAAAAATATCCCGACCTTCTGAAATGTCTGGGGACCAGGAAGGTGGGCTCACTGTATTATGTGTACTCCAAGCCCCCTAGGATATGGTAGGTGAGAAAATAGATGTATAAAACTGAGCAACATAAAAGGTAAAAGCCAGCAAGCAACTAAGGAATTTTAGAACAGCAAAACAAATGCAGACGTATGGAAATTTAGGAAAAATTGCATCAAGGTAGGGTAAATATCACTTAAAATGACTTTAAACTTTAATGTTTGCAGCTACCATTCACATTAAATATTTTATTCTGGTTGAAATATCAGTACAAGGAAATACATTTAAAATTAAGGTTTATGTGAAATCAACATTGACTCAAACTATAATTATAGCACCAAAAAGTAAACAGAAGCCAATGAAACACTTATGAACACTAGACGAAACTATTTTGGGACTACCTTTTTCTAACAACTTTCACTCCACTGAAAAGAACCAGATAATCATAAAGAATGATTGGTGTATCTACTGCTATAAACAACCCAACCAAACATATAGTCAACTAGAAACATGGGCATTCAATATATACACGAACTTTACATTGTGGGAAGTTAGTTTTTAAACTTTAAGATACAAATACCATTATAATCTTAATGCTAAACCATGCTTGTTTCCATGCCCATTAGTTGTGATTTTTTATTCTGATGTAGGGAAACAATTGCTGATTGTTAATTAGTAAGGAACAATTTGGAAAGTGAAGAAAAAAACTGTTAAAGCAAAATGCCCTAAAATTTCAAGTTAAGATGTTTCAAATATGTCTCAAGTAAACTGGAAATATTCTAGTATTAAAATAGTTAAAATTAGGCATAAAACATTCCCATATAACCGCCATCAGTAATAACTTGAACTGATCTGATGATGTTTAACAGCATAAAGAAAAATGTTTATTTCACCAACATTAAAAAAAAAAAAAAACACAAATGTCAAGCAATAAAGCACTTATTTTGAATTCAGTAATTAATTCAACAATATATAATTTTATCACTAAATAGCCAAGAAAGTACTTACCAGGTCTCGATAACATTATCAAACAAGTTGCATCTTATTAATCATAGGAAAATACTACCCAAAATTAAAATATTACATTGGAAATAAGAGCTTGAATAACCTTTGATGGGAGAAAAATAATTACTGAATAACTACTAAATACAAATTTGAGAAAAAAACACAGAACAACAAACTGGTTTCACACTTTTTATTCCTGAGCTCAAACCTCAAGCATTTTAAATTTAGCAGATACTGACTCAGTGAAACAAACTAAGTGCCACTGAGCAGATACTGACTCAGTGAAACAAACCAAGTGCCACTGAGCAGACACTGACTCAGTGAAACAAACCAAGTGCCACTGAGCAGACACTGACTCAGTGAAACAAACCAAGTGCCACTGAGCAGAGACTGACTCAGTGAAACAAACCAATCTTTTTTTTTTTTTTAACCCTCTTGGATTAGTCTTCTGCTTCTCCCTGACCCATCAACTTTCCACAGACTCACTTTAATTTGTGGAAAGTTATGGCTAATTTCACTGAGGACAGTGACCTTTGTAAGTGCATTGCCTCATTTTCTCACTACCAGATCTTGCAGTTGTACCTTTACCTTTCTTCTATGTGCAAGTCTTTCCCCACCTGTATATTGCTAAACAAGTTATTTCTCTAAGTCTCATTTTAATCAATCCAGTTAGCTTCAGTGGTATTAAGCTGCCTTTTCTCAGTCTCCTGTGCGTTTTTCCTCTATATGACCTCTTAAGCAACTGCTGTATCTTAGGTCTGAAGGACTCTCTTTTTTATATATTTTCATCCTAAATGTTATTATAATAAGGGTTTTAAGTGCCATCCTAGAAATCTCTGAAATTCACGTTTCTAATTCAACCTTCGTCTGATATCTTCTATATATGTGTGATTTTCAACTTCATAACATTTCTATTTTGTTAACCCCAATCTGTCGGATTTACAACATTGAAAATCTCTCTAGTAGTTGGTTTCTTCTGGTAGTCTTTCCCATCTTTATAAATAGCATCCAGTCAAAACTCAGAGTTATCTTCGATTACCACTCTCCCCTGTTCTCTTGACCCTTAAATCCTGACTGTAGCCAACTCTTTAATCAAATACACATCAGTAAATACAGTAATTTTTGTTTACAAATTTTGTCCCAATCTTTCTACTTGGCTGTACCCCCACTCTCAGCAGACCAGTCCTGGCCACCACCATCCCTCAGTGAACACGCTGCAGCAGCCTATTGGTTTTCAGGCTCTCATCCCTATGTTTCTTCAATTCTGTCTCCAAACAGCAGCCAAAAGGATTTAAAAAAAAAACTGGGGGCAAGCAAATTATGCCCTTATTTTAAACCACTGAATTACTTCTCAGTGCATTCAAAATTCAAAGCTTTACCACGATTTCTCTCAACAACATCTGATGGGATTATTCCTGTGCCAGTAGGCCTAATTTGAATACTGTTGTGGCACTTGTAGGATAAGCACTGGACTGCTAACCATAATGTTGGTGGTTCAAACCCACAGCTGCCCCTTGGAAACCCCATACAGGGTCACTATGAGTCGGAACTGACTTAATGGACTTAACAATATGACTAGTTACTCTGGCTTTCTTGTTATCCTTCCACTGTACCAAGCATCTGCATCTGAGCAATCAAGGCCCTGCTGATTTGTACTAACAAAAACCTTTCTCCACAACTCCAATTCGCTAACCTTTTTTATAATAGCTGGCTTAATATGAGCCTTCAAGTATGGCCTAGTCCATGAGAGTATAATACCCCAAGTGAATACCACCTATCTTCTGCTATCTTTAGTATCCTCTCATTACTTCACCAATTTTTGATCATGTATGTTTTATAATTAATAATATTATTTGTTGTTTGTTGTTGTTAAGTGCCGTTGAGTCGGTTCCGACCCATAGCGACCCTGTACAGGGTTTCCGAGGGTGTAAATCCTTACGGGAGTAGAAAGCCTCATCTTTCTCCCGCGGAGCGGCTGGTAGTTTCGAACCGCTGACCTTAAGGTTCGCAGCCCGATTCGTAACCACTACGCTACCAGAGCTCCTTAATAATATTATTTAGTAGCAAGTAATTTAAATTTAGTTCTGTCAATATTTCCATTGTTTTTACTAGGGATATTTGGCTAGTGTAGAGCCTTGAATTATTTTTGCTTTGCCATTTATAAATGTTATGTCAGTTATTGTTAATAAGTGCCACTGAATCAATTCTGACTCATAATGACCCTGTACAGGGTTTCTGAGAAACATACTATAAAAGCTGTACGTTAAGATAAAATATTGAAAATTTTTATTTCAGAAATAAAACTTTTCTGGTGATTATTCATCATAAAAATTAGCTTTGAGGCCAAAATTATACCTCATTTCAGAAGGATTTACATTTCGTATAACAAGGATGAACCAAATTAAGGGCTCTGTCAAAACTCAAGAGTGTTTGAATGTCATTTCAGGGATAATTAGAAAACTGCCCTGGTAGTGCAGTGAATTATGAGCTGGGCTTCCAACTGAAAGGTGAAATCTATCTGCCACTCTGAGGGAGAAATATAAGGCTAAAAGATGAGGCATTCTGCTCCCATAAAGATTTACAGCCTCGGAAACCCTGTTCAGGGTTGCTATGGGTCGGAACCGACTCGATGGCACTTAACAACACGTTACTAAAAGGGCTCTAGTGGCAAAACGGTTAAGCACTGGGCTGCAAACAGATAGCCTGGCTGATCAAATAATCTGCCTTACAGTTTAACAGGAAGAAAGACGTATCTATCTGCTACCACGAAGATTACCGCTGTTATTGCCAGGTACCATCAAATCTGTTCCTGCTAATAGTGACCCTATGCACAACAGAATCAAACACTGCCCAGTCACACAATTGTTATCACTGAGTTCATTGCTGCTGTCACTGTGCCAATTTACCTCGTTGGGGATCTTCTTTTTTGCTGACCCTACCCTTTACCAAGCATGATGTCCTTCTCCAGAGACTGGGTTCTTCTGGTAGTAGATCTGATGTACGAGAGATGAAGTCTCACCATCCTGGTTTCTACCTAGCACTTGGGCTGTACTTTTTCCAATAAAAATTTGTTTGTTCCTCTGGCAATCTAGGGTAGTTTCAATATTCTTCTCTAACATACCTTAGTCCTCTCAAACTGGTATCTTTGGTCTTGAACACTTTAAAGCAGCAGATTTGCCTAATGCAATATGTCATTTGATTTCTAGGCTGTCGCTTCCATGAGTGCAGATGGTGGATCCCAGTAAAATGAAGTCTTTGACAACTTCAATCTGTTCTCCATTTAGCCTGATGTAATTTATGGGTTCAGTTGTGAGGATTTTTGTTTTCTTTATGTTGAGGCGCAATCCATACAGAAGGATATGGTCTTTGTTATTTGTAAGGATTTTAAGTCATCTTCATTTTCAGCAGGCAAGGATCTATCATATATGTATATTGCAGGTTTTTACTGAGTCTTCCTTCAGTGATGACGACACACCCTTCTTCATATAACCCAGCTTCTGCGATTATTTTCTCACCATACAGAATGAGTAAGTAGGATGAAATAATACAACCCCAGCACCACACACCTTTCCTGATTTCAAACTATTCAGTGTTCCCTTGTTCTGTTCTAATGACTGCCCTTTGGTCAATGCACAGGTTCCTCATGAGAATAATCAACTGTTCTGGAATACCTATTCTTTGCAATGTTTGTCATGATTTACACAGTCAAAAGCATTTCAACAGTCAGGAAAGCACAAATAAAAATCTTTCTGGTATTCTCTGCTTTCAGTCACAATCCATCTGATGTTTTAGCAATGCTATTCTTCATTCTATATCCTCTTTTGAATTCTGCTTGAGTTTCTGACAGTTCCCTTTTTATGTATGGCTGCAGCTGTTTTTGAAACATTTTAAGCAAAATTTTAGTTGCATGTGATATTATATTGTTTGATAGTTTCTGATTTCTACTAGATCACCTTTCTTTGGAATGGACCCAAATATGGATCTCTTCCAATCAGCTGGCCAGATAGATGTCTTCCAAAATTCTTGGCATAGATGAGTAA